GGGGGCAGGAGGGGGCAGACCCCGGGCAAGCAAGGTCAGCCGGTGCTCGGCCTCTGGGCGCCCTCGGCGGGAATGCACAGGGGGGCAGGAGGAAAACGCACTTCCGGCCGAGGATGAAGTCCACGATCTCCGAGAAGCCCAGTCCCGGGGAGGAGGTCTCCACCAGCGGGGCCGAGGCCAGGCTCGCGGCGAAGACCGACCAAACAAAGGTCGAGGGCGAGCCACTGGTCCGGGAGAAGGGGTGAGAATGGGTGCGAGTAGCGGCAGGGGAGGGGGGAGGATGGGGCAAAAAAGCGCGGCAACATCGCACATGACAAAGGGCGCCCCAAGGAGAATGGACACAATGTCCAAGAGCAGGGCCACGAGGACCACGGCGCGCGAGACAGCCAGGAACGCCGCGCCGGCCTGTGTGTTCATGGGCATCCGCGCGCGCATGACCGAGAGGGGCCGAGGGAAGGAAGCCGAAAAGGCGACGAGGAGAAAGCACACGGCCAGTCAACATGGAGGCGCCCCGCGTGCACGCGCGAGTGCGAAGAAGAAGAAGAAGAAGAAGAAGAAGAAGAGGAAGAAAAAGAAGAAGAGGAAGAGGAAGAGGAAGAGGAAGAGGAAGAGGGAGAGGAAGAAAAAGAAGAAGAGGAAGAGGAAGAGGAAGAGGAAGAAGAGGGAGGCCCCGAGGCCCGGCCCGCGCCTGCACGCGGACGAGACACATACCGAGATCTTGGACAGCTTGATCTTCGTCTGGACGGAGGTCAGCAACATGGTGGCCGCGGCCACCGGCAGCGCCAGGAAGACCGAATGCTTGACACCGCCGAAGGACCCGGTCCCGCTGCCCAGCAGGCAGAAGCAGATGCAGCCCGACATGAATGCCCGCATCAGGGCCAGGCTGACAATGGCGATGGCAGACTCTTTGCGTGCCGGCGGCGCCGGGGGGGGCGCAGGGTTGGACATGGTGCCGCGAGGAGGAAGGCCCGCAGGAAGGGGCGGAGACAGACCCGGGGGGACGGGGGAGGCAGGGAGGGCGGGAAGAGGGAAAGGGGGGTTCTGGTCACTGGCCGCCGGCCGGCGGGGGGCCGAGCGACCGGCAGCCGGGCGGCACTTGGCTGGGCCGATCGTCTCCCCCTTCCCCCCCGCCGCCGCCCGCCCGCGAGCCGCGGCGGCCCGAACATGTGGGCCCATATCACGCGCCGGCGTCGCCAGAGCCCACAACTGGGCCGGGCGGCGGCCCGCGCTTAACTCACGCGCCGGCGCGCGGACTTTGGTTGATTTTCGCCTGCCCTGGCGTGCGTGTCACATGGGCGGGCGCGGGATCAGCCCCGGTGGCGCCTTCACCCACAAGTCCCCCCGCCGCCGGCGATTACCCCTGTCGGCTTTCCCGGGCCCCTGGGGCAGCTCCGGCGGGAGGGAGCCCCCCGGCCGGGCCGGCGCCGGGATCTTGGGCTTCTGTGTCTCCGCCGGGGGGTGGGAGGGGGCCCCTCCGGGTAGCCTTGCAGCGTGCGGGGTCGCCTGCGACCGGCATCCCCCTGCTCGCCGTCCGCTCGCTCTTTGGCCCGGTCGGCGGCTGGCCCCCCCCCCCCCCCCCCCCCCCCCCCCCCCCCCCCCCCCCCCAGGCACACTGCATCCGAACCGGTCGACATGGCTAC